ACGTTTGAAATGGTTGAACATATGTATTGATTGTTAGCGGATTCCTGTGCGTTTTTACACTGAACTGCCTCATCTTACCTGAATTGGTAAATATTCGCCATATTGCAGGATAGCATTAGTGGCACACAAGAGGAAGTGTACAGCAAAGATTGTCCTAGACAAGCGAAGTAGTCCCAAACTGACAAGCAGGAAATTTGGCACCTAAATCCCCTAAGATCGTTCCGCTGAGGTGATGCAAATACAAAGCTTGTTGGCGCACATGAACAAAAATAATAGTCTAAATTAGATAGTAACAAGCACATACATAGATCGATGAACTGGACCAGCACCCACCTTCATCAATGCATGACACTGGAAGTAGAATTCTCATCCCGCTTAGTGAAACCATAGAAGAAACTGGCGGACTAGTTTATGGAACTCCGAATTTGTGTCCACTGCGCCTGAACAGGACTGTAGGGCTTTGCAGATAAGAAGCTTGCGAGTTCCGCAATATTTGGATCTGCAAAGTTTGGTCACCTCAAACCATTTCCGGCTAGGATGGTGGGTGCCACCAAAACACAGGTCAATTTTATCATACACAGGAGCATGAGCACAAGTGAGATGAGTACTCCAACTTGCTTTGCCTTCCGTTATACAGCTTCGCCAACGGTTTATGATGGCGATGTGGCCAAGTTGCGTCCACAGCTGTCCAGGCGAAGGAGATCGCTAGGTGATGCACTGGCTCTAGGGGCGTCGGAGGCTCCTATTCGAAAGAAATAAACTGTGATTAGCATAGATCCGTAGAGGGTGTTCTGCGTTATCTGTCTTACGAGTACCATAGCCATGCAAACCACCTAATTCCTGTTTATCAGCACCGAGCCCATCAACCGGTGCGTTTAAGTCCTCAGCGAGCACCACGAAATCTGCGCGGCGTTTCATATGGAGAAGGTCGGAGAGTTGATGGTAGTACTCATCTTTAGCTGAGTCTGGGCTGCAATCCGTGGGCGAATACGTCGCTAAGATGAACAAACAGCGTTTAGAAGCCTGGCGGCTGGACAATCGTATAGATTTCTAACCGGATTACACAGAGTCTGCTATTAACTAAGATCCAATCGAGCAACGAAGCTACGGCGCTCGCGCTTAATGCAATTCCCACACCGGCTAAGTCCGCGGCTTAAGCAGTTACGTTTCCTGACAAGCGTAGTGTGAACATACCCTGAGAGCACACAGAAAGTAATGTCAGTCTTGGCGTGTCTTGGAGTTCTATAAGCGGGTCTCAGCAAGGCAACATGTCTACGGAGATGGTTTCTAGAGTGAAAGCAGGAGCAGCCTACGACTCCATCTGCATGAGCGTCCGGACATTGAAAGCGGCCAACTTGGATCGATAACGGGGGCTATGTAGCTCTTGTCTTCGCGACTGCATGACACATGAACGTCCTTGGGCTGCTCACCGACACGGTTGGAACTGTCTCTCAAGGCGGTATGTTATTTCAGACCCGATATCAGAGGAGGATTACCAAGAATGGGTGAGTTCAACGAATGTGGAACAAAACAAGTAGTTGATGGTGCGTTGGAGCATGGTACTGCAGAGCAGGCCGTCAGCACATCGGCCGAAGAAAACAAAGCAGAAAGTGTAGCTAAAGGGCAGAATTACGTAGGCTCATGTTCATGTGTTGTGTGGGCAAGCAGCTTCCCGGTTGCTCAGGCTGAGGAAGTGGATTGACTTAGAGGACTCCACGCGGAGCCTTGAGCCATGAGGACCCTATCTGCAAAGCAGCGAAGCGATTAACATATATACTGAACCGTCTGGAGTCGGCAGTAGTAATTTACCAAGAGTCTCCGAACTGCGCAAGCACAGAGGCACAGAGGTTGGAAAACGATTCTGCAGCCTTTGACCAGCTGCGAAGTATGTGTCCGCTGACAACCATGTAGCCATACGCCTTCTTAGTGCTCGGCAACAATGCACACAGAAGCCGGTGGCAATGGTTCATCCGCCCCCATTAGGTAATGAACTCCGGTTACAGAAGTGAATGGTCAGTGACCCTATAGGCTGTCAACTTGGCTTTTACACGGCGCCGTACCAGCACTTGTGGTATTTAACGGAACATCAGATGACCAAGCCAGTTACAGTTACCTCCACAAGAAATGCATTACCCGATCCGAAGCTTGAGGACGAACCCGATAGCGTTCAGCTCCACCTTAGATAATTCCCGGCTTAAAGTTTTGAACTGACCCTGGTTTTCACGAATTGCTGTAATCCAAGACATTAGTGTCGGTTACAATATCTCGCCCTAACTGTCCCAGTCCTGAAGTTGCGGACATGTAGTCGGGATTTCCAGCTGCTGTTTTTAAATAACTGGAATTTTCCATATGCATATTTGCTGTCGATTTTAATACGTGTTTCACTCTTCCCTGTATACCTTGAGTTAAAGTGCATCGTACAATTCTTAACCAGCTTAGAAGCAAGTCTTAACTTTGTATTTAATAACAACCAGAACATGTTTTCTGTTCGTAAGCGGCCACATTCTAGGAGCTCTGAGCACGCAACGCTAAAGTTATCCTCTGTTGTCTACATTAAGGTGAACCACAAAGGCTTCACTCGTTGTGACGACGGAAAGTTCAGGAGTAGAGAATACCTTCCTTAGATGATTGACCGACGGTGGGAAAATATTGCATCCACCTAATTTAGTTTATTTTAGGACGCGGACATAACGAATTATTATGCGCTGTTAAAAACTGCCTTAATCTCTGTTTCGATGTCGGTTATCCAGTTGAAACCACTCTCGTTCTTGTAGACGACTGTGGAGGCTCGTAGAAGAGACTTGTAAATATCACAACTTTGTCTCACTAACATCCTTGTTGCCTGATGTCAAAGTAGGATTGCATCACCTCAATCTTCTACATTAACACCACACTGGGAAAAAGTAATCACTGAGTCAAACGAAACTACTGAAACAGTTGTACGGAGTTACCCTGGATGTTACACATCCTACTCTGGAGGTGGAAGAAGAAATAGGCTACTCTTTTATGCTGAGAAAATATTTTAGCCTCTGATGCGTCATGCGTCTACTTACAACTACCCTCATATAACCAACGCTTTGTGAATGGCTAAAAAGCCCACAGGGAATTAACCAGAGTGTAATCGACCAAAGCACCCAATCACGGCAAACTGTCCTCTGTCTCCTCAAAAACGGTACAGTCTACTTAGCACAGCCTTTTGCTGATTTGCACCTATTATGATTAAAGTAGCACAAGAAAGATGACAGTTTGGGAGGCCCTAGCATCACACCTGTGCCACGGAAAAGAAGCTGAAAATAATGGTCCGTGATATGCATGGCGATTGCTCTGAAGGTTTCCGAAAGGCTTGTTCTTGGAAAGGTGTTAGTTTAGACGCATTTGGATGACTCCATCAGTTCGGTTATCGCAGTTCAACATCCATCATCTATAGAATATCTAGCCTTGCACAGTGGTTTCATCATTGGATAATGGAGATAAATCCACAGGTATGTGCTCTCTGGACTGTAGCATCGCTTTCTGTGGAGGGAAACGTGAACTGCTATTGCGCGATCTCGGTTCTCTGGTTCAACTTCTGTTGTTCTTCTACAGGATGACTAGTTTACAGGTGTCCAGTTCTTCAGGATATTTTGGAAAAACCCTTTGTCAATTACTACTAAACTAGATGTTTTCAGGGACCCATTATACCCACAATGTTATTTTTCTCCTACGTTGCCTCAATCCTCCTCCTTGAAGGACCGAACTTGCTGAAGCGTGCTGATAATCTAATCCAACCCCATAGGCATTGAACAAGTTACAAACCCCTTGGTCAACCTCACAGATTTGGCCAAGTCCCCTCAATTATCATCCAGTGAGAATTTGCTTTTTACATTGCTTGAAGAAAATCGCTGCGAGGAAATCCTCATGACCCGCCCGCAATTGTATACCGATATTTAAGTTATGAATTTATCCAAATCAGTGAAATATCAGAGAATGAGACACAGTAGTGTCTTTGAGTGCTGCCTTCACAGGAACGAGCTATTAACTGAAGTCAGTAAGCTCTTGTTATAGGCTGCTTGAATTAGTCCTCCATCCGTACCTCATATATTTAAACATACCTTAGTCGCTGTGTAACTACAATCTTACTGAATATAACGCACTCCAATGATAATCACTGGCCTTTCGATTAAGGATCTCAAAGTGATTGCCAAGTACGTGATGCATCTATCTCGATATAGTGGATATCCAACGCCGGAATTCGTTAACACCACTGCATCCAGTTATGTTAGTCCCTGCAACAAAGGTGCATCCAGAATGCTTATTGACGCTAGCCCTCCCCCATAAGGCGTCGTCCGTATGTCTGTCCCACTCATCTAATATATATATATATATATATATATATATATATATATATATATATATATATAATCTTAACATGATTATGGTAAATCACATGTTCCATCCTTTTTAAATTTTTTCCTGCTTTGAACTTAAGCAATCAGGAATTGTTTGGTAAACTACTTCACCGAAAATATCTCTTTCGACGTGCTTTTTACTCTTCGTTTTATACCTATCTTCTTGTAATATTCTATTTCATCGGTTAACCTTATTTTTGGCCTGTCTTCCAGTTAGAAATTCACTCTTCTTGGGCATAGAATGTATATTCCTGAATTTGCTTGACGGTGCTGAGTTTTAATCATTTCTTCTCAGCCTGGCACATAGTCATTTGTAGGTCATGCGTGTGCTGGTGCAATGCAACGAAAACCATTTATATGGGCATTCGTTCCTGTTTGGGCCCACTTCTACGATAGCGTTGCCATGGTTCGGTCGCACTCTTGCAACTGTTGGGTGAGAAACTTCCAGCTGACTGTTAGACCCGAATTCAAAGGGTGATGTAACAACTAGGTCTGCAACAGTGGGTTGCGCAAGCCTCATCATGTTCACTAAAGCAGCCTAATGCCACCCAATCGGTACATGGGTCACGAGTTTGACCTGACTGTCCGTCTCCCCACATTCCTTCCGTTCAGGTCAGCCCTCTAACCACCATTAAACGAACGCACTGTTTATGCTACAAGGCATCCACCTTTGCATCCGGTTGGCTTGCTTTGCCCAACTTTTTGAGCTTCGATTATGTGTTCCGGAACATGGATTTTACAAAGAACGTTACGTTGTATGCCGCTGAGATCACCGTCGGTGCCTTATTCGTACTAATTTTCATCTGGGCTAGACGAACGGATTTGAAGGACGTTGAAAAGGTAAGTGTCATTTTGTCAAGTTGGGTATATTCTTCTTTCTTCCGAAGAGGGATGAATCGACTCACCACTTCAAACAAGCAAGATAGTGAAGTTCCCACGGGGTTTGTGACTGGTTCTTTGAGAAAACATGCATAAATTGAACAATGACTTTATCTGATTAAGAAGCACTGCTTTACAAGCCACGTTGGCTAGTCTGATGGGTTATCGAAAAATGTTAATGAAAAAATGCAGTTATTAGTTCTACTGTCCAAGGGATGTACTTATCGTTTTTGATTCAGTAACATTGTACTCCGAGTGTTTCCAGGGCTTTCATCGGCGAACAAATAAATCCATGGTCTATTTTCCTGGGATTAGGATGGAGAGTGTGAAGTAGGAAAATGTAAGTGGCGGCGAGCGTCATCCAACGGACTTTCAAATTTGGATAGCGCGGATGCAGAAACCATCGATCCGGGAGAGTGTTCCACGGTTGACACACACGAATGGAAAAGCAATTTCTACGGCACTTCAGACAGTCGTACTGTTCTGATAGTTTCAAGGAGTACCCCCGCAGACTGATGTTACTGCTGAGTTGCAGTAAAGAGCGGCGCACATGATTGGCATTGTGTAAAATCAAATGTGCCATATGCAAGTCGCCTTGTAGTCGAAGATACCGTCCGCTGAATACTCCCAAACGTCTCAACCTCTGCTCGTTGGGAAAGTGGCGCATTCCAATGACGTATTTGGAAGCCCGACCTTGAGGTTAGTCCAGTGCAGTGTGGTCGTGCTTCAGCCATGGCTGTTAGACTTGGTGTAGATATTCGACATGGGGGCGAACATACGCATTGAGCACCTGTCTGAAAATAGATGTGTCTATTTGTCCGAATGCTCGTCGTAACAAGCCGACGTGTTGGTTACCAGTATTCGATACCTTAGTGGATTACTTGGAAGAAATCAATTTATCCTGAACAAGCAGACCAAAGTCACATTTGACGGATGATCACTGCAGTACTTGCGTTCCTAGCTTGTAGAAGTAACTACTCTGGGTCGTATGGATAGTAACTTGCATTTGGCCAAGTTGAATTGCAGTGGAATTTGGGTTGACCACTGATGTAACACATACAGGTCAAGCTGAAGCAAATTCTAATCGACATCCACCTGAATCCTACGCCAAAGCTTGATGTCGTCCATAAACAGAGAGAAATTTGAAGCCATTGCCTTGCGTGGTCAATACTAAGTACCAAAAACCATCACGGCCCTAGAACTGAAGCTTGAGGCACCCCATACTTGACTTGTGTGTAATCCGATTAGTTCCGAACTCTGACCACTAACTGTCGCTGAAATAGAAAGCTGACGATCCAGTCTTAAGTAACAAAAGGTAACTGGATGTATACTTCATCTCACAGACTTTTAAATATGGTTAGTGTAGGTGCAGCAACTACCGATTCGGAGAGAGCGTTCCTCAGGTGACACTCGAGATTAAAATTTTTTTTAAGGCAATCCAGGTGACTATACTGTTCTGTTAGTTTCATGGTGTAACTCAACCTTATGCTACTACCGACGTCAAGTGAAAGCTTCCTTCAAATCATTATGTGACACAATTTGACAGGTTATAAGAAAATTTGGTTTGTTTCTGTTTTTGAATTTTGTCTAGGTTTAGTTTTAGAGCAGATAACAGGCCTATATTGGCTTGGGTCTAGTTGAAGGGTGGCAATTAATGGCCCTCAAGGTTAATAAGCAATACGGTCCCAACAATAGCCCACATTTGATCCGAAGGAATGGGTACACAATCCACATTCCCTCACGAAAGCTGGTTCCCGAAATTGACTATAAGTGTGAACGGTACCCTCCTGAATGATTGGCATTTGTTGGTACCTATGCTTACTGCGCTTTATGTATCCGCTTGCGCCTCACTGACCGTTGCAGACTCTATCATAGTGATATTTATCTTTCCATCCCCAGCTTAGGGTCACCCCTTTGGCCCAGAACAACCCAGATGACGAATACTTGTACGAACTCTTTGTGAGCACTGGTCATCGACATGGGGCTGGAACAGACTCCAGGGTATGCATCCAACTTTCGGGAGAGTATGAAGAGACCCGTCCTACGGCACTAATGGACCCTTGTCGCAAGGTACTACAGCGAGGCAACTGTGATCGTTTTCTCTTAGCCTGTCCTCGGTGAGCAACTATGGAACTGAGTACAATATTGTCTGTTTACAATCACTGTGACTGAGTTGCATGTGAGAACAGCCCCTTAGATATGTCGCATCATCAAATTAGTTAGAGCGTTTCATTTGAACGGCATTAGCCTGTTTCTAGTGCAGTATATTCGTTGTCTCTGACGCAGTTCTCACAGTTCTGGATTGCCTCAATCATGTTCCTAAAATGTACAGGACACGATTGCTGAGGCCTTTGAAGTATTCCTGCTCCCCAATCTCTTTAAAATAACTCAGAGGTGCCTTCTGACTCAACATAGCAACGGGTACAAGTACTATAACAATATCCACGCTAGTTATGGGCATTATATACAAGAGATAACCCATCAACCTGTTCTTCAGCCAGTAGTCCCCGCGTCGTTCCCCTAGGACATGGGACAATTTCACATTGAACATTTTTGTTAAATCTGGATCTCGTAAAACAGTCGGCGAATCGTTGAGCCAAACGCCTTCTGGGTTGTGAAAGACCTATGAAAATGGAACAGCATTAAGTTCTGATCCATCCTACATCGTGGTAGGACAAAACTATTGTAGTGAAATAAATTCCAAGTGTTTCACTTTCGGTAGTTAGATAACATTAGTATGAGACTACGCGCTGTCTTCAAACTACTTACCGGATCATTGTTTTCGTTAACTCGGCGAACTTCTGACATATTTAATAGGGTACAGTTAACAAGGATTTCTAACGGGCAAACTAGCTTTACTTGACAAGTCCTGTCGGATGACCATAGTGGTGATTATAAAGTGAATGTTTAAACTGACAGGAAAAAGGGAAAGTTCCGGTTTCAGGTGACTCACCTAGTTATTCACTTGAGCACATGCTGAGCTGCTCACCGCTCCGTAACCGAGGGGGTTGATGGGCACACTTTTGCATTACTTCGTCTTCTGATGGAAACAGACTATTGCGTAATGTAATTCGGATAGAGTGTGGTCAGAGGCGTAGCATGTGGGGTTCTGGGGGGGTGGGGGGAAGACGACATGTGACAGGGGGGCAATTTTAATACAGGTCACTGTTCGATACCCAATTTAAATGGCTAGATATTCGAACCAGTTGAGGGCTGAATATTTCAATGTTCCCGTGTAAGACCAACAGCACATTTGCGTCATGCTCCACACCTGTGCAAACGTTCTTCCCAGTGATCCACTTCCTTGTGCCATTGTGGTCACTTTACCTCAGTGTCCCAAATGATCATCCATTTCATCGAAAAGTAACGTGCACTTTAAACTGAGCCGATTATGTGGCATTCACACGTCTCTCCTGACCACAATTAGGGCGAAATTTTTATCACCGCACCTGACTGCAAAACTAATTGCTACACCACTGAGTATGGTCCAATCGCCCTTTTAAGAAGCGTTATATCGGCGCGAAAATAAGGTGAGAAGGAAGAACGTTCCACGGTCTGGATGCCCAAAGGGTGAAAACGTCTTGTGGGCAAACAAGTTGACTGCTGTGTGTGATCACTTTGATCTGGTGGCCTCTCAGGTTAGTATTGTGTCTGATTTGCGACAGGCATGATTGGGGTTAGTCAGTATTTTGTACACCTTTAGGTCTCCTCGCTAGCGTCAGTATTCGCCGCTGTACAAGTCTAGGGTTTTTAATCTGCGTTGATAAGAGGTGAAACAGTCCTCGAGCGATTTCGGTCACATTACCTTGTGGATCTTCAATAGCAGCAGCATCGTGTTTGCACCAAGATCCCTGGGTCTGGATTGCGTACTCCATATAGGGCCACACTTGGGCGTTCAGCAGTAGTGGAACGCTTGATAGCGTGAACTTCGCGAGCACCATTCGTAGGAGACCAAGGTTTTGACTGGTTCTCCTCGATGCCCTTTCGACCTGTTTCGAGCAGCCAAGTTCCTCGTGTACGATTAACCCGAGGTCGCTTTCCTGCGTAGCAAGTTGCAGCAGCTATTCCCCCAGTCGATATTCTTGAATACACTAATAGCGTAAGCTCAGAACTTTCATTTCGCCAGGTTAAACTGGATGCGGTTTCTGCGGACCAAGTGTAGGCCTTGTTGAGATCACTTTGTAGTGCTGCGCGGTCATCCACTGTCTGGATGTTATGCCAGATCTTGACCTCGTCGGCAAGTAGTAAGAAGTCTGACTGGGCCATCCTAGCGAGATTGTTGATGAACACTAGGAGTAAACGCGGTCCCAGTACGGATTTCGAGAGCACACTTCTCTGGACTTCAGTTGGGTTTGAAGCGAATCTGCTGACTCTCACATTCAGCTGACGTTGAATGAGGAGGCTGTTTATCCAACCTAATATAGGGTCACAGGTTCCATAGCTTCCAAGTTTGTGCAGAAGAATTCGGTGGTCCAGGTGATCGAATGCTTTAGAGAGCCCCAAGTGTACGACATCAACTCCTTGTCTGGCATCGACTGACTTCTTCCAGTTTGCTCGGGCTAGTAACTAGTTTGTGGTGCAGGACCTATTTCGGCGGAATCCATGCCGCTCTGACACTGTGATGCCGTCGCTTTTGAGGTATCTCGTGGGCGCTAATGGGATTATTCCTTCCATAACTTTGGATAACACTTGGAGGATGGTGCTTGAACGATAGCTAGAAGGTTCTGCGCGATTCCCACTTTTGAAAATAGGAGTAACTAATCCCAGTTTCTAGATGGTCGCAAACTGCAAGTGCTCAAGTTTTCGTTGGAAGAACCTGGCTAATAGTTAGGCAAGATTTATGGCTACTGTTTTAATGCCTTCGGTCTGATAATGTCCATATCAGGCGGGCTGTTCACGCTCAAGAACATTAGTCTTCTCATCACATTTGTAGCGACGAGGAATAGGTGGCTTTATCCTTGGGACGGAGTGAGTTGTGTCATAAACGCGTGAGGTGAAGATTCACGTCAAAAAGTATGGTCAGACTGTTGCCGAAGCTCGTTCGACGCATTTTGTCTAGTGAGCGCCAGACTAGCTACTGCACATAGAACTGGAATCCAGCGCTACACTCTCCGGAGTTTGTTTACGTGCCTGTAGAGCTTGTTAGGATTTGTAGTGAATTTGGTCGCTATGTGATGTTGGAGTTTAAGTTTGTTGTCGCGGTCTAATTTGCTACAGTGATTTCACTGAGTCATCCCAGGCCTGAGCATCAGGACAGGCTTTATAAGCGCGCCAGGGCGAGTCCCTTAGGGCCAGTTTCGTGTTCGCATCTTTAGGAAGACTTTGATTTCATACGCGTTTGCCACTAGCCTGCTGCACAGGGTGACAAATTCCCTCCAGACGGTGTCGGGAGGCAGCTCAGCTAGGAAGGAGCAGTTGGTTCCGTTAACTAAATCAGACAACGTACCGTAATGTGTGACGTGGACTTCTTGACCGCCTTCACAGATGTGATCCGATTAGCTAATTTAGCGGAAAAACAGTGTCACGTCATCGCTACGGCCAAGCGGTGTATTTATGTTTAAAGCATCAATCATTAGTCCCTCGTTGGTGAACATAATATCTAAGACAGATGCTTCGTCGCGAGTCCTGAGTCTCGTAAAAGCGGTGACGTGGTTACATAGCGGTATATCAGTGATTACTTCTTGTAAGTCCGCTTTGAATTGTTTGCAGAGCAAAGCTGGGATTTTGATTGTGTGCAGGTTTAGATCCCTAACCTAAGGGATGAAACTGTATGACCGTCCAATCCATAGCATATGCCAGGCAGTGATCCATTGCCAGGGTGGACTTTGGAGGGCGGTAAATTATTGCGACTAATCACACATCATCACTTTTCATTTGCAGGCGGCACCAGAGAGAATCATCTACTTGCGTAGCTGGATCATCCATGGTATCGATGTGCAGGCCAGATCGGTAATACAAGAGCACTCCACCTCCTTTGCTGCGTCGGTAGTTTCGTAGGAGAGTCATGTAAGACAGGACTGTCTCGGAATCAGTGACCTCAGTATTCGGCAATGTTTCAGTTATCATGATGATATCCCAAGGAGTGAAAATGTGACGTGTATAAAGCTCGGGTAACTTAGAAGACCTTGAGTGTTGGTATACAAGCAGGTGAAGGTTTTAGTGGTTAGCAGTGTATTTGTGGATGCGGTTTCCGGGTGGGGGTTATGCCGACCTTTGTACGGTCGGCTATCGGTCGATATTTTGTTGAACCGTTATCGCTGGCCCCAAGGCAGTTCCGGATTGACATGTAGAGTTCCTGGCGTCAGTAAGTGGCTGCAAACCTAGATATCGTTCAGCTGACGAAGTGCTTTTACTGCATCTCGGTTCTGAGCAGCAGGTTGACGAGATGCACACAAGGATTGCATGTTCAGAGTCATTTCGTCGCTTAGTGGCTTGGTGTCCATAGACTGATGACATATTTCAAATAGCAGCTTCTTGCGCAATTGTAGTCAGGTTTCCGTCATCTATTCCTCCATGGGTTTGGTCGGCAGTGTAACATTTATTACTCGTGAAAGGTTTCCTCTGTAGTTAGGCGATGATGGCAACCTTGATATCGAATTAGCAATCACATCTTCGAGTGCGAGTACTTCGCGAATGAAGAGCTACTCATCCAAGTCATGCGCTTTGGCCTCTAGCTTGCTGGGATTCTGAAGGTCTGGAACACGGTGGACAAAAGCGGTAGTCCTCCGAGCTTAGTTTGTGTTTCTGGTGTTCGCCCCTTGGAACATTTGGCAGATTTCGTACAGTGCATATGGTGTTACGGAGGCGAGTGGCTGATAAGGAAACTGCCTCTGCGTCAGTAACTGATGGAAGTGTTACCTAGGATAACCGCTGTTCACCGTGGTGTACGGAGTTCGGGTGACGAAGGAGGCGCGTCATCCTGGCCGGCCTAGGTTGATCACTTGTTTGTCGACACGGCGAGTCCCACTGTTTCCTGTCATCTAATAGCCTATCTTTTATGGAGTTCCCCCCAGAATCAGGCTCATTTGAGCCTATAGCAGTCAAAGAATTACGATCTTGTGTCATCTTCTCCTCTTTGGATTTACATATGGCTGCTTTCTTTGGTTGGACAACGGATGGATCTTGAGTTCCAGGGGGCAATGGTGGTACTAACTGAACCTACTTTGCCGGTGCGCGAGGTTACGGTAAGCGGTGCTTCTTTAAGTGGGTAGCAACAACGGGCGCGTATGTTGTCGTCCATCTAACAGTATCCGATGTGGCTCTTAGCTCTGAAGAAATAGGTGTGATGAACGCATCTTTATGCGCAGCCTCTAGTATCGGAGTGGCTAACTCTGGATTTTCACTAGTATTTTCGGCCTTGCTACGCTCTTTTGAAGTTTGAGGAGTTTGAGGTTGAGCATCGGATTTTAATGCACTGATTTGTCAGGTTCCTGTGGGACATCTCTCACGGATGCTGCTTGCTCTACTAACTTTGTTAGTCCGTCGCACTTCCGTGCCAACACACCTATGCATCTATGAGTGGAATAGCCGTACACTCAGTGCAAAGCCAGAAGGGATCGCTTGTAGTATTCAGTTACTTTAGCTCACTAAGTCATAGGCGAGCATATCTAAGATGGATTATTTTGCGGAGTTTTGTGCGTTTTATTCCAACACACACAAGTTTAACATAGCCTGCTGCACCCCAGTTAACGTACACTTCTGAAGATAGGCCTAGCTTTCGATGGGCAAGGAGTGCATGTCATTGTGCTCGTCAGTATTGTAGATGTCGCTGATCGCAATGTCTGCACGAGTAGGCTGAACTCAGACGCTTTCGGCCAAGTGTTTTGCGGGGCTGATACACGTTATACAGTAATAGCGTTAAATGAGACAGGGGCAGGCTGCAGCCGTTCCAGTAATTTATATGCAAAGACCACATTCAAAAAGTTGGTATGATTTGAGAAGAGGAGGATGCACTGCGACTTATCGGCGGTATCCATAATCTTCAACACTTGTCGTACTCAAACTCATTGACTTGTGTTTGTGAGGTGACTATTTCAACCGTTACACGTAACGGATATTTCGGTTTTGACTGAGCATCGTTATTTTATCATTCTATAAACAGCGGGGTCCAGCAACAGCAAGGATTCAACCAGCTCATTATTTTGTTCAGGATTGGCCACTCAGAATGGTAAGTCGTGGATAGCGTACTTTACTAGAGGCTGTGTGTGGCAGGGAACCCCACGAATCTAATGATGCCCTCTACTATAGTGGCCACCAATGCTCCGGCTATCGAGACCGCTACTCCTTGAAAAGCGGGAGCAGGTGAGAACCAGAACAGGATGAACTACTGCCTTCTAGTGCACCTTATCGCTGTCCGCGACACGTGTATAAATCCAGCAATGAGGTCGTTAACTAATGTTTCTCTGTACGTGCGTTTCATCTTTTCGAGAACCATCAGCAGTGCGCATTCCATCCGACCCGTGGTAGGGCTCGAACCCGCAACTCGACTGTTGCCAGTCCGTGGTTGAGACCGCTGAGCTGCGGGGGACGGCAACGACCATCGTGAATAAGTTACTAGATGTGATATAGCGCCGCTCACTATCCACTGACTTACACGTTACTGCCGTGCAGAGGACGGGGTAGCCCCCTCACCAAGCAACGAGCTTACCAAACTTAAGCCGCCAATTAACTTATGGCATTATAAGTAGTTTGGTCTGCGTACTGATTAGAGAAGAGTAGTAGGGGGAGTTGAATGGCATAAGTAGAAATTCGTCACTTCTCAGTGGTCTCAACCACGGACTGGCAACAGTCGAGTTGCGGGTTCGAGCCCTACCACGGGTCCGATGGAATGCACACTGCTGATGATTCCAGAAAGGAGGAAACGCGCGTACAGTGCTTTTCCGGGCGTGTGGTGGCTGTCTGAGTGAGTCCAGATGTGACGAATTTCTACCTATACCATTCAACTCCCCCTACCACTCTTCTCTAATGTTCCTCTAGTAGCGGGAAATGAAATACTATCGCGCAAGAACAACGTATATAGCGTTACCTTTCGATGAACACGCCAATTCAAACAGCAAATAACTGGTGCTTCTGAGTATATTTGCTAATGTATTTTCACCTTTCACTGACAGGTACCTCGGAAGATTGATATACTGCCGCTTGTGGCACGATAACTCGGGAATAGACGACCGAGCTTCCTGGTACTGCAGCTACGTCGGTGTACTGGATCTACAGACTGGTAAGAAATCACATTTCGTGGTTGGACGTTGGTTAGGTGTGGAGGAGGACGATGGCCAGGTACGTCTATGCATTCCAGCTTATTAACCAAATGAATAGAGTACGAGCAGTTAATATCCACTTCGTCCTAAACTGGAAAATATCATTGCTATGGATTTTCGGCCATATACACCATTTTCAACTCAAATTGGACATTGTGCAAACCAATTTAACCATTTTGCAAAACAATTTGTAATTTTGCAAAACCACTTTGGACGTTTTGCAAAAAAAGTTAGACTTTTGACAAAGCACTTTTGACAGGCTGGATTTTAAGCAGAAACTCAGCAATGCACTTGCTAGAAATGAGGAGTAAGGCGACTAGACCATGTTCAGACTACATCGCAGTCATGCGAATGCAACCAGTGGGTGCCACTGCAAACTCTTCTCTTAATCGCGAACCTCGATCGCCTCGAGAAAAGGCGGTGACTGAGTATCTCCCCATCTCCCCATCTATCTTCTCGTACTTTATGTGCTTCTGACTTTACACATGGACCTGTGTAGCTATGTGACTATTGGAAAGTTCGACTTGCAGAAAGCGTTGTCTATCATGACTTAAAGAAATGTTACTTAGCATTGGAGGGCTGTTTTGAGAATGGGTTACGATGCGTCATCTCAAGGTGAACTGCGATTCCAACTGAATTAAATCATGGTCAATTCCATCATTTGGGCCGTAGCTGATAAAGCAGATAGGCGACGATCCTGTTGTCCCCTGTCACTCTATGGGTCTTCATGTAATGTGTGTGGGACAACCTATTCAGTTTCTCAATTACTGAATCAGTGCACGTTATCACGACTATAGCAAACACAGCATAGCTTTATTGGCCTACTGCTACAAGTCGTTATCGAAAAAGGGGAGTAAAACGTGTGGAGGATGCTCAGCCCACCTTGTGCTCGCGCGAATGCACCTGGACTCTGCAAGCAGTGAGCGATTGTGCAATCTCTACTCTCGATCATTGGCGTTGTTCACTTAGAGCAAAACTGGCGACCAAGTTGTCCCCTGTCGCTCTATGTGCTTTCGCGTATTTCCTGTGGGTGTGTGGGCGAATCTATTCAGTGCAATCACTGGAACACTGTTGGTTATTATGAATCCACCTAAAACAATCTAGATTCATTGGTTTTCACCTGTAGCATTCAGGGGAGTAAGGGGACTGTACGATACTCCGGCTACATCGCGCTTACGGGAATGCTACCTGACTGCATAAGCGGTGATTATGGTTGTCAACTGTCCCGATCAGAACCGGTGACCCAGTTGTCCCCTGTCGCACTATGGGCGTTCGCGCATCTTATGTGAATGTGTGGGTGGACCCATTCAGCTGTTCGAATATTGGAACAGTGTAGGCTATGGTGAATAGACCCAAACCAGCGTAATTTTGCTGGGCTGAAGTTGCAGTTTGTTATCAGGACAGGGGAGTAGGGCGACTGGGCTAGCTTCCCGCCACATGTTGGTCATGCGAATGCAACGGGACAGTACAAACAGTGTGAAGTGGTGCAAGCCTTCCTTTCGATCACTGGAGTCGTTCACCTTCATGGAAGCGAGTGACACCTTTTGCCTTGTCACCGTATGGGCACCCGCGTATTTCCTGTGGGTGTGTAGACGAACCTATTCAGCTGCTCTATTATTGGCTCGTTGCGGTCTATCATGACTCCACCAAACACAGCGTAACTTGATTAGCTTTGTGCTGCACGAAACAACAAAATGAGCGACGAGCAGCGACTGAACGCACCTTTGAGTCCGTGGCGGTACAAGGGAACATCAATGGCACAGAAAGAGATCGCCACTAAGCTTGTGTTCCTCGACGGCAAAGCCATCCGTGAAGTAGCTGAAGTCACCGATATGGAGGAGAGCACGGCAAGAAACAACATCCTCGCCTACAAGAGAGAAGGCGTGAAATTGTGCGCCGATGTGGAAGAAACAACAGTGAGGCGCGGACTCCCGATGTCCTGCAGTCCGTTGAAGAAACCACTGAACGACATTCCATAGACACTCTGGGGCAGCTACAGCAGCTCTTGAGCGAAATCGGGATCGGGCTATCATTATCTATTGTTTTCAATGCTCTCAGGTTTGGATAACGTTCAAGACGTGTTACCACGAGTTAGACCGCGTCAACCGCGCCAAGACCATCGCAAGCCAGAAGGCTTACGCACTTGACTTCTCGGTACATGTACCGAATGACAAACAGAAATGCATCTTCATACATGAAAGCGGGTTCAATCTTTACATGTGACGGACCGAAGCTCGCTCAAGAAAAGGGGACGCGCCCGAACGTCGTCTTGCTTACAGTCAGAGACCGAATGGTGACGCTGATTTCGGCAGTGAATAATCAAGGCATCGTCCACTCAAAAAATCATCAGCGATGGTAGTTACAATTGTGCAAAGTTCTCCACGTTTGTCGCGGGACCTGTGGAGCGTATCTGCTGCAGAGTGGAGATAAACGGTGCATGGCAGGTCATGGACAACGTCAAAATCCACATGCTGGTTGATCTAAGGAGGATCTTGGGCTCATCTTTTCAGCTGAAGTTCCTCTCGTCCTACTGGTACATGCTAAACCCAGTAGAAAGTTTGTTTTCGAAGGTAAAAGCATCGAGGAGAAGCCTGTTAGCAAATCCGATGCCTGACCAGACGCTAAGTGCAGTTACTCAAGAGAGTATTGGAATGGTAACGCAACATGACTGCACGAACTGCGTCCTCAAAATGATGCTGAGTCTGACAAAGCAGTCGCTGGACAGCCTTTAATTAACTGAAACTTTTTAACGCTATTGCTCACTTTCTTTTCAATACAACATTTTCATTTTAAAGTAGTCGTTTTTGAAACCAAACTGCCGAAGCTAGCATGTGAGAATAGGGCGTGTACTGAGACAGCTGAACAGTATTACCAGGGCATTTTGATGTCTCTGCAGCAGCAGCAGCTCGGGTAGATCAGGACCTATCCATCCTTGTCTATGTCCTCAACGCTAAGAGAAGACTACGAATAACACAATAAGAAAAAAGTGGCATCAAAAGTGCCTGATCATGGTAACCTCACAGGCCTGCGCTCTGGACATCTCAGTACACGCCCTATTCTCACATGCTAGCTTCGGCAGTTTGGTTTCAAAAACGACTACT